TCATAAATCATTGAATCACAAGAGGTAACCTAAGTTGTTAGTGGGATTTTCTTGTATTTATTTTAAAAAGGTTAGCTATATCCTATTGATATTTTTGCAAGGAAGGAGAAAATCAGCTAAAGATCTTCTGCAAGATGAAACTAAGGGCATAGCACAGTTCAGAATACAAACAGGGCAGCACCTAAATGTAAACATAAATATAAGAAGTAACTTGTTGGATGAAATATTGTACATTGTTCATCCATCAAGTTCAAGAGACAACAAAAGCTGCTATATAATTAAGCTGTTAGTTAATCAGAAGCAGGGAATTATAGTCAGCTGCTATGTATTAACAACTTCTAAAAAGGAGACTATGAAAAGGACATTAATATGGATTAAAAATTAACCATGATTGCCAGAAAGCCTGGTATGGCAGTTCTGCCCACAGAAACATGCGCTCAGCAGTATCTGCCAAAACTAGAAACAACACATGGTATTCATTCTGCTGCCCTTAACAGCATCAACAGATACAGAGACAAATATTCCACAATGCCAACTTTTCTCAGATGAGGTTCCCAGAAGTAAAGCTGAGTCAGAGTTTAATAATATTCTGAATTAAATAGAACATACTTTTCTTTTTTATTCTCTTCCGATATTGTTTAATTTTTTTCATCTCATTTCAATAGGACTGTTTCTATCCAGAGGTTTAAACACCGTATTGATTTACAGCTTTGATTGCCACTGAAGTTTTATCTTGCTAATGATTGTGAATATTTTTTTCTAAAATTGCAACTTGGAACCTAAACAATTCATAGCAGTATGGACTTCCAAAACAAGTTTTTAACAATGTTATATTATAACAGTATAATTTCTTTCTCTTTAACATTGAGATTAACAACCAGAACTACTAAAGATTTAGCTGTAGTATCAAAACTTACAAAAATTCAAAAATATATTCATATTAAGAATTTCTCCTCTTTTCTACCAGGTTGTCTTTATTTAGCCAAAAAGATCAGAATAAAATAAACAGCTGCTGTCACTAGAACTAATGATTAGATGCTAGAAGCTTTTACTTACATACTGTATACAAATCACCCAGATTTGCTACTCTATTAAAGTGACCAGATTTTAAAATTGGTAAAGTGGGTCACCATTGACGGGGGGGGATCGAAGGGGTGCCCAACACGTAGCCTAGCGTGCCCAAATCCTTCTTAGAGGGCATCTAGGGCAGCCACGGATTTGGCTTCCAAGCAGGCCTTTTTCCATTTCAAGGCACTGCCACTTCTTCCACAGCCTCCTTCTCCCCCCCCACCTCTTGGAAATCCAGCCAGCTGCCCGCCAAGCTCTCTGCGGAGACTTACCCAGAGTTTTCACCATGATCTGCCTGGTGAGGGGAGGTGGCACGTTGATGCAGACCAAATCCACATCCTGGTGCAGCACAACCTCGTCTATCCGGCTGGTGTAGAAGGGGACGCTCATCTCCTTGGCCAGTTCTTCCACCTCTTCCTGAGTGCAGCCCCACAGTGCCTTGACTGCGAAGCCCTTGCCCTCCGCGTGAAAGGGCCGAACATGGAGGAAAGAAAGGCCTGTCGGGCATCCAGATTGCAGCGAGGAGGAGGAAGGGGAGGAAAAAGGTGAGGGTGGAGGGAAAGCAGCTGGGCAGCCTCCATCGGGCGGTGAGGCGAGCTGCGTGTGAGGCTGCTCGGCCAGCCCGCCCCGCGACTTCTGCTAGTGCTTGGCAGCGCGCAGCCACCACGCAGCCTCCAGCCCTGCAGGCCGCCCTCCTGGTGCACAGCCACTAGTCTATAGACAAAGATAGACCTGGAAAAATGAGTGAAAATGTTTGCAAGAGGAAGCCATGTGGTGGAGCCAAAAAAGGGGTGGGGCACCCTTTCTACAAAAAGAGGGACTTTTTAAAAACACCGCGGGACATGGGACAAATTATTAAAAGTCGTGACTGTCCTGCCAAAAGCGGGACGTCTGGTCACCTTATATTCTACCCATCCATTTTCTTATTCTGATCTAAAATTACTCAATGTTTAGAATGAGTTTTGATGGTTTATCCAAGATAAGAACTACAAGAAGTTACTGTTGCAAACAACAAGATTGAAGAGCGTGGACAAGACCACTGAGATCAATATAGTAACAGAAAATCATAACAATGTATTTCATATCATATGGTATGGTACTTGTGTAGCATTTATTTTTGTTTCTGTGAGATTTTTTTTTTAACAGAATAAAACTTTTTTAAACTTGTGTATATGTGAAATTATAGTTTTCTACATATAAAAACACAAATAAAAAGAAGAATCTCTCCAGAACATAAGCATATTTGAAAAATATGGAAAACATTTCAGAATTTAAGCAATAAATTAAAACTTGGCAATATGAATTATGTTGATTGCCTACAGTTTTTTAATCATGTCAATTGAGAGCCATTTCAAAGGCTATGAGTGGTTTGTCTTCAGATTCAGATTCAGTGGTGTGCAACAAACTACTGTTAAAAGTAAGCTCTTACGGCATTTCCCTGAACAAATTGATGGCAACAGGTATAGCAACAAGTAGTCAAAATAGGAACACACTATCAAACCAGGCACAGTGGTTTCTCCAAAGCAGTGTTTTAGAACCCACTCTCTTTCTGCTTTACATAAATGACCGAGCATATTATAAGCATCCTCTTCGCTGATGATGTAAAATTATTTAACATCATCAACAATATTGCTGCCGTATAAAGCAACCTCGACTATGTGTCAGAATGATTGTGCAATTGGCAATTCCAAATTTCAACTAACAAATGTTCTGTCCTACACCTTGGCAATAAAAATCCCAAATAGAAGTTGGGCAGAAACAACCTCGTAGATGACCTTCATTCTGTCAAGGACCTATGAGTACTCATCTCAAATGATCTAAGCCCCAGAGCTCACTATAACAGCATTGCGAAAAAGGCATTAAGAGTTGTTAACCTAATTTTGGGAAGCTTTTTCTCCGGCAACTAGGGCACACAAAACCTTTGCCAGACCAATTCTCAAATACAGTTCATCTGCCTGGAATCCACACTGTATATTGGACATAATATGATCTAGCAGGTCCAGAGGTATTTCACAAGAAAAGTACTCCACTCTTCTGCTCACAATAGAATATCTTATGCAACCTGGCTTGAAATGTTGGGCTTGATCAATCTGGAACTGTGCCGCCAGTGGTTGGACCTAAGAAAAGTACACAAAATTGTCTGCAACAATGTCCTACCTGTCAATGACTATTTCAGCTTCAACCACAATAATACATGGGCAAACAATCGATACAAACTCAAGGTAAACTGCTCCAAACTTGATTGCAGAAAATACAACTTCAGCAACAGAATGGTCAACACAGGGAATGCTCTACCCAACTCTGTTGTTACATCTTCAAACCCTTACAGCTTCAACCACAAACTGTCTACCCTGGACCATTCCTAAGAGGTCCATAAAGGGTGTGCGTACCAGTGTGCCTACCACCCCTGTCCTACTGTCCCCATTTACTTGTATTGATTTCCTTTGTTCAATGTCCATGTTCATAGTTATACCTGCTATCCTTTACATGTTTTGTTGAGGACTTGGAAAGTCCTCGACATATGACCAGGCAGCTAGCAACAAGCCAGGCTGCACCCTGATTGGCTGGGGCGCAGCATCACCTGTTGCTAGCTGCTAGAGGCGCCCTGATTGGTTTAGGCGCAGCGTCTTCAGTTGCTAGACAACTGAAGCGCGCCCATTGGCTATCCCTGCTCTGACAGCTCATTTAAATAGCTGCCAAGCAGGGGTGGTGCTGAATCGCCTGTAAATAGTTTGGTTGTAAATAAACCTCTTGTTCGGCAGTCCTGGCTCTCGTCTCGTCTTTCCCGCCGATCCTCTAAATGTTTGACAAACTAATAAATAAATAACCTTATTTGCACAACTGTAATGAACTGAATGTGTGGACTGCAAGTGGCATCTTCACTGCCACTAGTTATTTTATTTTATGATTATCCTTGGATATATTGGTCCCTGATATCAATTATTTTGATACAATGTTTAAAATAGACACTTTCCATTTTCTTTCCAAAAGCTCATTGATGTTTTTAGACTGCTTTTCATGCAGTATTTTGTAAATATGATCCCTTACTTATTCCTCATATCATACAACCTCTCCTTATTTGGCAGCATTTGGTCCTGAATATCTTATCAATGACTTCAAACTATAAGCCTACTGCTTTATGATCCATGATGTTCCTTTCTCATATATATACAACCATCACTGAGCCTAGAGCAAAAACTTCATGCAGTATTAAAAAGAATAGAAAAGGGGGCTGCTGTGTATTGCTTAATGGATTGCTAAATTGGCAAAATGGACAGCTAAATTGCCCATGTCCACCCAGTCAAATTACTCCCACTCAGCCACATGACTGCAAAGCCACTCCCACCCAGTCATGACTGCCAAGCCACTCCCACCCAGTCACATGATCTCCAAGCCACTGCCACCCAGTCATATGATCAGCAAGCCACTCCCGCCCAGTCACATGACCACTGAGCCTCTCCCACAAAACAGGCCACACCTACAGAATAGGTTCTAAAAAATTTTGAAACCGACCTCTGGTCTGAATCTACCTTTTAGTTGTAATTAATAGTTTTACAGTATAGAATTTTACCAAGATGTACTAGAAAAAGAAAAAAATATCCCAACCTTTCTTCCAAAGTTGCAAATCTTGCATGTTTATAAATGCATTATAATTATTAATTGGTCCACTGCAAACAAGATCACATGAAATACATTGTATGTTCTTAGGAATAAAAAGCAACTGCTGGCTTGTCACGTCTTTAGTAAAGGGTGATTTATACAATCTGAAGGGAAAGCAAAGTATACTGTGCCTTGTAACATCTTACACAGTGTTTTTAGACATTTATTACAGAGGACCTCATCTCTTTTCTCTGGAAAGGCCATATAATTGTGAATTTTGTTTTTCCTGTTTTCTTAAACATCTATCAGAATTTAACCACTGTAAAACTGACCTTAAAATTTGCCCTAGAGACAAGAATCAGCAGGATGACAGAAACCATATTTGTTTCAAATATAAGTGCAGATGCAAGGATCACAGATCTTCTTTTGTTAGAATCTGGTGATAAAAAATAGCATAAATTAGCAGATGTATATCTTGGAAATACTATCTGTGTGGTAGAAAAAATACATACATGCAGACCCATTTATATGAACAGTACAAACTGAAAGGTTTTGTAAGCTATGATGAATCTAAAGTTGGTTATTTTACACCTGAATTCTCTGCTTTAGAAATTAATGGGATATAAGAATATATTTATAAATATATATTTCCAATTATACAATGCAAGAACTGCACTGAAATTTCAGACAGCTAAGAACCAAAGCAAAGTCTGGAATATCTGCACTTTTAACTTCAGTTCTTTCTTTGAAGAGTGAAATGAAATGGCTTTCAAAAAGAGCGGTTTTTAACTGGGATTTAACTCCAAATTAATTTGTTGAAAGAAAAATTACAGTCCTTATACTATTATAATTACTACATTTACTAGATCATATTCATTCAACAGAGAGTAATCTTATGCATGCAAAAACAGATCCTCTTAACTTCAGTGCACAATGTAAAGCTACCAGATATAGAACCCCATTATTTGTGCCTCTAATTCATTGTTTACCAATTTTAATAAGTTCCAGATGTTTACACTTTAAATCCCAGATTTTTTCACCCCATATAGCCATTGTTGAGAATTCTGACAACTGAAATCCAGAATCTGGAAATCTATATATAGCCATCATGATATTCTCTTTCAAGGTAAATATAAGAGGAAAATAAAATAAGGAGTTTTTTTAAAAAAACATGATGACCTTATGGAAATAAAATCACAAGTTTTGATGAAAAAGATAACTAAAAATATCTGGGCATCCTTCAGGCTGATAACATCAAGCACAGTTTAGTCAAGGAGAAGATTAATGAATACATCAAAAGAGAAAATATCTTAAAACCCAAATTCAATAACCAAAATACCATCAAAGCAATTGGACAATTCCAGTTATTAGATGGACAATTAGAATAGTGGACTGGACTCAATCTGAAGTAGAAGCCACAAATATCTGAAGAGCAACAAAGATGATGCATTGGAGCTAGTACACCAAGAATTGAATATCAAAGACAACAAATTGGCCAATAAGAAAAATCAGATTAAAAAATAAAAAGAGACATGGCAAGTACATTAAAAAATAACAGGGAAAGCAGATAAAGACCTGGAAATGGCTAAGAGCAGGAAAATTGAAGACTGGTGGTGGTGGTGGTGGTGGTGGTGGTGGTGGTGTGGGGCTAATTCTGGCAGCACAACAGCAAGTCTTAAGAATAAATACATACAATGCCAGAAGCAGCAAAACCACCTCTAGCATCTCTTCAAAGAAGTTGAAGAAACAATAGATCACCTAGTTAGCTGCTGCAAGAACATCACACAGAATGATTACTTGGAGAATACAGAATGGAAAACAAATAACTAGAAAGAAATCACAAAATGAAAAGATCTATAAACGATATAAGTTAGTATAAGCAGTGACGTGCAGTGAGCTTCATGGCCGGTGAGGCAGAGAGAAAGAGAAAGAAAAAACGTGGCTCTTCTTTCCCTCCCTCCCTCACCCCACCCCACCCCCTTCCCAAAGACTGCAACTTTGCCCCTCGCACCACATAAAAACTTCCCTGCTCCAGATCTGGCCAAAACACTCCTCGCCCCTCCCCACTTGGTCAGGCCTTATCCATTTCGCAGATCCCGGTTTTTTGGAGGAGGGGGGGAGGTGGCCGGCCGATATTCTGCACTCCATCCCCCCAAGCCGCTTTCCCTGGGGTGACATCCCTGCATGGCCACGTGCGGCACATCCTTGCAGAGATGCAATCCTTGCAGAGATGCAATGTAGCTGCATCCCAAACCGTCTGCGGGACCGAGAGCCGATCCCTTCCCTTTATGGGGCATTTAGCAGACGGGCCCCCTTCTTCCCAATCGCACTTCAGATGCACACTTTTGCAACTCAGCATCGCCTCTTTCCCCTTGTGCATGCTCTTTCTCCTCTCCTCCCTCGCCAATGCACCTCCGGGCTTGCGTGGAACTACACGCGTGGCATTTTTGCTAGCCCCGCGCACTCTGCTGGTTTACCCCATCCCCCTCCCAGGCTTGGAGAGGGTGGGTGGAGATGGGGGTCTTCCATGGCACACGCATGCACGCGCAATTCCCTCCCCCACATGTTTTTCCCCACTCTGCCTTCCCCCATGCTCCAGGGCGCTTCTTCACCTGTTTTCTCCAAGGACATTGCGGCGGCTTGGCGAGGCTGAGGGTGGATTTTGAGGGGAGCGGAGGAATGGGGTGGGGAAAGAGACCTGAGAGATGGGAGGGGGGATTTCTGCATCAGTAGCCTCCTTTCCAAAGGCGCCCTCCTCTCTCTCCCTCTCTCTCTCTGGAGTAGATTTACTCCAGTTTCTATCGGCTCTCCTTTAATTATACAATGACCAGTCCAGAGGTGGGTTTCAACTGGCTCGCGGCGGTCCCCGCGAACCGGTTGGTCAGCGAACCCAGAAGTAAGTAACTTCCGGGAACGGCAAAGGGCCCAGCCGCCCGCCTGCGCTCCTTATCCGGTTTTGACGAGTTCTGCACTTCCACGCATGCGCAGGACGCATACAGCGCCTGCGCAATCCTCCAGGAGCAGCTGGAGCATCGCACAGATGCTAGTACGCATGCATGCACCGCGCGCGTGCACGAGGACACCGCCGGCCCCGTTCCCACCAAACCGGTTGGAACGGGGCAAGAAACCCACCCCTGGACCAGTCATATTTCACTATAGGGCCTTCATTTGGAGTGCCTGAATGATTGTCTAAATTGTTCTAAAAAAGAATTGTCTAAAAAAGAAATAAATGACGGTTTTGTTGGAGGGGAAAAGATCTTGATTTTGGCTTGATTTTTTTACCTCTTTGTAATGTTATGTTATTCACTTCTCTGGCTCCAATCCCAGCCAACAATAGCCATCTCTTGTGAGGACTGTTTTAAGTATTTAAATAATAATAGTATTAGCCATTCTACCTTAGTAACAAATTATTATATGAAGCCCCAACATCTACTTAAACAACTTACTCCCCTATTATCCCTATCCAAAGTACCTTGCAGTAACATTGGACTACATTCTCTACAAAATACACCTAGAGAATACAGCAGCAAAAATCAAAACTAGGAACAACATACTGCACAAATTATGTATAATTAAATGCTACTCCACAGCAGAATACTGTGTCCCTGTATGGCTTAAAAGCTACCATACTAGTAAGTTACTAGTATTTGCCAGACTCAACAATCCCAAGAGAATTATAAGTGGATGTATTAAAACCATTCCAACTTGCTGGCTTCCTGTTCCTGTTCTGAGCCATATAGCACCTCCAACTTTACAAAGGAAAGATTCACTAGTGAGAGAATACAGAAAAATAATGAAAGACCATTAGTCTTACCTGAACTGTAGTTCTCTGTGTGCTGCGGGATACTCCATGCACGGGTATAACTTCTGTCTATCTCTCCAGAGACTGAGTTTGAAATGCTTGGACATGCTTCCTTGGCTTAACTGGTTTCAGTTTCTTAACAAAGGCGTAGAGCAAAAGAATGTCATGATGTCTTTAGGATGAATCCTACTTGGATGCTGGACATGTTTTCTTAGAGTGGGAATGGAGTCTCCTGCAGCACACAGAGTACTACCATTCAGGTAAGACCAATGATCTTTCTCCTGTGCACTGCTTAGAAATTTCATGCATGGGATATACCCAAGCATAGATATTCAAGAGCAGGGAACAAGTTCGTCCAGGGTCCCTTCCCCAGAGTGAACCCTTTGAAGCACACATCATCCAAACATCGCCTCAGCCGAGGCAAACGAGTCCAGCTTGTAATATTTGATGAAGGGCAATGGTGAAGCCCAAGTTACAACTCTGCAAATCTCTTCCACTGATCCCTGTGTGGCCCAAGCAGCAGTGGTGGTGGTGCTGCGACACAAATGTGCCATGATGCGGTGTGGTACTGGCCTGGATTGCCTGGATTCATAGGCCATGGTTATGCAGGCCTTCAACCATCGACCAATTGTGGAGGGTGACACCTTCTTGCCCATGGATGCAGGTTGAAACAAGACAAAAAATGCCTCAGTCCGTCAGAAGGAGGCTGTTCTTTTCATATACTAACGAACTTCCGTCTGATGTCCAATTTATGCCATTGCTTTTCAATTGAATGAATGGCTCCAGGGCAACAGTCTGGTAAAATGACCTCTTAGGATCTGTGAAACCATGAGTTCACTTTAGGCACAAAAGATGGGTCAAGTCTGAGAATAACTGTCTGATCGTATGAGTGAGAAGTCTCCCCATACCAAAAATGCCGCCAATTTGGAAATCCTCCTGGCCAAGGTAATAGCCATGAGGAAGGCCACCTTGAAGGTCAAGAATCTGAGACTTGTCAACTTTAATGGCTTGAACGGTGGCAAAGTAAAAACCTACAAGATGGTAGATAGGTCCCATGATGGGTACTGATGCATGACTGGCGGTCTGAGATTGGTTGCCCCTTTCAGAAAACTATGCACCCATGGATGCTGTGAGAGGAAAGTGTTGTCCTCGCCTGAAAGAATAGTGGATAAGGCAACTACCTGTCTCCGGAAGGTGTTGGGACACAGGCCCCTGTCCAGTCCATGCTGTAGAAAGTCCAGGACGAGGGGAATGGAAACTGAGAGGGCGTTGATGACACACCATTTCCTGACTGCAGCCCAGGTTGCATCGTAAATCTGGTTTGTGGATGCCTGTCTGAATGCTTGGATGGTCTTGATAATGTCCCTGGAGAAACTGCCCTTTCTCAGGAGCTCCCTCTCAAGTGCCAAATGGTTAACTAGAGCAGTGTTTTTCAACCTTTTTTGTGCAAAGGCACACTTTTTTCATGAAAAAAATCACGAGGCACACCACCATTAGAAAATATTAAAAATTTTTAACTCTGTGCCTATATTGACTATATATAAAGTGTTTTTCCCACGGCACACCTTACACTATGTCACGGCACACTAGTGTGCCGCGGCACAGTGGTTGAAAAACACTGAACTAGAGACACT